GGGCCGGTGAAGCTGTGGTTGGCTAGATCATCACGCCTATTGCCCACATCGCGTAGCGGCGAAACCATGAGACCGGGAGATCGGAAGTCGGCCCCAGGTGGCCGCATGCTGACCTTGGTTTCGTCAGAGGGAACCTTGACAGACAGCCCATCATTCAGAGTGATTGCAGCCGAGCTTCGCATTACCTCCTTAAAGATTAGTAAGGAGCATTAGCTGGAGCCGGTGACAGACTTGTTGCATGCTTTTTTCCACATAGCAAGGAGTAACTGAACTTACCATGTCGGTGCATCGGCGGACGCCAATCATGATGTTACCGAGAAAGATGCGTCCGTTCTTGTTGAGGGCGCATTTGGCTTGAATTTTATTTTGGTATTTGAGATGCATCCAGTTTCCGTTGTTGGTTATCTGAAACATAAAATATGCGGTAGGATTCCTGGTAAAATTTCTTCCATACAACCCTGCAGCACGCAGATGAAGGAACAAAACTCCCTCCTAAGCCGCTGGTGGTCAAATTACGGACATGGTAAGGATAAAGTAATGAATCCGGTCTGCGGCGATAGGAGGCGAGCACAAATCATATTTGACGCTACTGTATTCAACAGGAATGGCCTCACTCAAACACAAAATGATACCTCAGATTGACTCTAAATTCGACAGAAGTCAACCATTTCTCGAAAGGGCAAACAAGTTTTTTTTTACCTGCAAGACATGATCTAGTTTGTGGTCGATAAAGTGACTCTAAAATGGGCCACACGGTTTATGCTCTGGATAAATAGGAGGGGCCGGATCAGGCCACGACAGGAGTTATTGGAGATGCGCGCTCCTAACAAACACTGGTTGTGTGGCGGGAAGCCTAAGCACGGGCTCACACCGGGTCAGTCACCAAACCAGATTCTGCTACCGATCTTCTTGACACTGGTTCAAGGCGAAGGAAAGGACAGCATATGCTGCGCAAGTCCACTATCACTATAAACTAGTTCACACGCAAGTCATCGTCTCTGCGCCCACCCTCCGGTTGGACATACGGTAAAATTCGTCAGAAACGACGGCCAAGCTGTTGGTCGATGACAGTTAACTGAAGAGACAACGTGTTAAGCCGGCGTTTAAACGGCACGGCCAGGGCAGCAGAAATCAAAGACGCAAACTAAACAAACAGACATAACATGAGACATTGATGCACTGAGTTGCCGGGCCAGACATTTTTCGGGTTGAGTGGTGATAAGGACAAGGGTGATAATAAACTGTATTTGCCAGGGCATGACAATTGACTAGACGCTTGAAAAATCAAAACGGCCGTAAGCTTTGACCTAGTCTGCTTATCTCTGAATAGAATTTAGCACGCACTCAAAATCCTTTGAAGTCTCTTTTTGTCCCCTCGCTAGAACTCAAGAAAAAAACATCTTCATTTAATGGCAGTTTTCTTCAATGTTGATCACCCTAATGACAATTTGGTTCGAAAAAAACCTAGTTTCAGGCGCTCTGATTATGTCAATGATTACGAGATGATTTATGGCTGTGGTAGTGGTTGCAGTGGTAGAGCATACGCGATGAATCACGGGGATCATTGCGAAGTAGAGCGAGAAAAAGGGAGGAAATTTTGGTTTCGGTGAGGTCGCGGCTTTTGTTCTGTGTTACCCAAAAGGGTGAATAGTAGATAGAAATATGAAAAAGCTATTTTTATCGGAGGAGGGTTTAGAACCAAGTTAGAAAATGGTACTGAGGATCAGATAAGGTTGACTAACTTGAAAAGAGAGGTTTTTTGGTCTTCAAACAAGCCAAGTGCGCAAAGTTGCCAGTTAAACAGGTGCCAAGAGTGCAAGTATCAGAAAATATTGACAATTAATAAATTTATATTTCAAATTAATTGTCACAATTGCAGTAATTTCTCATTTTTAACGACAAAATGTGGTGATAAGTGATAGAAATTACTTCTCATCGAAGAAACAAATCAGTAACTTACAAGGTATTTTTCGATGGTTCCGAAGTGAGAAAACTGATCGAGGATGAGGGATGCTTGCGATGAAGGATACCTAAAATGAAAAACAGCCACTGTTTACGAAGGAGGCCTGAAATATGACAAGTGAAAAGTACCTTGAGTCAGCAGTTAGATATTAGTACGGATAGCCCATGGTTTCTAATTACAGGTATAAAAGTTACAACTCGTCATCTAGGTTTCTACGCATGACGTTCAGAAACAGTCTGCACTAGTTGTACTTCTGAAGATCTATCGATGCCTTTAAAATTCAATTTGATGTGTGTCGTATAGATAATTTTCAGGAAAGGTTACGGAACCCGGCCCGTCAACTTAGTAAGTATCTGAAGGTGAAGAGGAATAGCAGGATCTTTGGTGATTACTTGCTCTCGGGTTTTACGAGTAAACAGTTTGAAAAAACAGACACAAATATCGTCAATTTGGTTCGACATGCGCCTATGAGATGACGACTATGTCTAACCAATAGATAATCCTGCTTGCCACCAATTGCTATTACCTGTGTGCTAGACACGCTAGTGAAGAAACTCATTAGAACGGCCACTAAAATGCACTAAAAATTTCCAAAAAACCTAGTGCAGCGCCCGGCGACCCTAGTTTAATTATGTGAGTGAATAATATCTGTGCGCGACGTGCGAAACTCCCTCGACCCTGCTACTCAAAATTTCCATTTGCGCAACTTGGATGCCTACTGTCTGTCCGAATTCCGGACTCGGACTATCACAAGCTCAAGATCCCGGGTGGTGACTCCTCTTTGGATAGACACGTCTTGGCTATCGTCGTTTCAGAACAGCTGAAACATGCATCGCTTGCGTGGAAACCAGCGAATAACCGGTTGGCGTACGTAACTGAAAGGACAAATGGCCAAAGTATCATTCATTTTTGTCAATGGCAAATATGAGCTGCGGTTGAAGGGCGCACTTGTATACTTTGGCTGTTGCCGACGACTGGAATTTGACATTTTGGAGTGCGTTATCGATAAGGTAATGGTGAAAGACCGTCTTCGTCTACGGATCTGAGTCAGCGGGTTGTCAATAACATGTGCTACAAGCGTCGTACAAACATTTGCTGGCCTACTATTACAATGACAGTTGTGCAGAGTCGGGCTAACTAGATAAAAATCGGCTCAACGCCCCTTAATTGAATGCATGATAACACGTCGATGCGACACCGAAACCAGCGACGTTTATGGATTGGATCATGTTTTCGACTGCACACTCGGACGTCAGACAAGTGATCTGTATTAGGGTAATAATATTTCCCTACTAATATGAAGCTATTTTGACCGGCAGAAGGCAGTTTACCAGTGAATAAAGGCGCAATACAACTCAGGTTATACATAAGCCCAGCCAAGACCGCCTTTTTCGGTTGGAGCGATGAACTAGAGGCACGCGTTTGGAATGCTGCTTAATTGTTTGAAGAAACAGAGCAAAAGTAACATACGCGACAAAGAGATGAGTGTCCGTGAAGTAATCCGGAGCTTAGAAGTTTATTATTAACAAAACAAGAATATATCCTAAGGCACGTATGATAACGGTTAAAGAAAAAAAGCAAAAACATACCCGAAAACGGTAACCCAGACAGAAGAATCGTCTTCAAGTGAGGCTGGACCGCTAAAATGCCGCAAATTAGTTAAAGGAAGTTAGCACCGAAGGTAAAGAGAATAAAAAAAACCAGAGGAAGTTACTTTATAACTGCAGAAAAGCAATCGATAAAGAAACGGCTGGTAAACACGCAGACAGGCCTAACTGTTTGCGATTAATGTGTTCCGGAAGCAGTGACCTAAACTAGACGTTACAATGGCTACAATAATAACCCGTTTGAAAGATAGCGTTGAACAGCGTACCACACTACATGGCCATTAAGACCCATTTTAAGGATCGATGGCCCATCCCAAGTAGAGGAAGATCTTCCAAAAGAAAGCGATCAGGATGTTTTCATTGTTTTTAGCTTTCCGCAAAAGCGATAGGCAGTACGTCTATTAACTATGGCAAGAACCACGGCAATGAGACTTGTTTGACCTACTGACCCGTTCATTATTTCGCCTATACCGAACTACGGAGATAATATTTCGTCAACTGCATAAAATAACCGGCTTTATATACAGAAGGCGACATATTTTGGAATAAGAAACTCGATTAACTGTCTATTTTGCTTGGAGTAGGTGCATCAAAGGCCAAAATGTTCAGTAGAAAGTCAGCCTTACAACGGAAGATAGAGAAGAAAGAACTCTAGACATTTTAAATGGCCCACGAGGAAGAATAAACAAACTACCTGCGTGGTTGTTCCTGTGTTATTTCTGCACGAGGATTACCAAAAGGCGAGTCCATCGCAGGCCGCAACCCTTGCTGTATCATTGGGGAACGTCCGAAGCTGGCGTTTGGAGTGCTATGACGTACGCTATCCGACAAAGCATCGGGGTTCTTCGTCAATGCCAATGAACTAGTCCACAGACTTTGCGTGGGTGGCGAAGCATGTCGCCGGGCACTGCGGTCCAATGGGGTGGTGGATTTCAGGTCAGAAAGCCTATGCTGGGTGAAGATTTTACCAGTAATGACAAACATGGAATTAAAATCTGCCACAAAAAATACTGAAGCAAGCCTATGTAATTAATTATGAACGAGACAAGAATGTGATGCTGCCTTTCAAAACAGGTTTATAAATGTATTTGCCAGCTTTTATTAAGTGAGAAACTACTGTAGTAATACTGTCAATCAACTGCAGCTTGTCTAAAGGTTTAAGAGAATAAGCATCGACATAAGACAGGAACCCTGGCAGTATAAATCATAAACATAATAATTCTGAAAGGAAGAGTCAAATTTGGTGCAAGAACGACGAGGACGAGTGGAAACAGCAAACATTTTCGTGTGATAGTTCTCCTAAATAAAATGAGGCAACATCCTTGGACTGATGTTCACAGAAAGCTCATAGATTCAAACAGGCTCTGAGTGTGAAGCAGTGCCGGGATGACGGCAGATAGGTTTGCACACTGAATATAGGCTCTACAAAGATGACGAGCTTAATTAGTGTTGGCATGGTCTTTTATGCTTTCCTGTCATTCAAAAGGGCTAGTAACGACAACCTTAACCTTAAGCGAACAAAATTCAAGCTATTGATTGTAGATAAACCATAACGGTTGAAATCATCAGATCAATCACATCTGGAAACTAACCTGCGTAAAGCGGTTTGATCTGTGTGGCGAAGGGAAGATGGACGACGGTACAGTCGTGCCGGCACTCAGGGGTGAAGTGACAGAAGTCTCTCCCATTAAAAAACTAGGCAAAAATTGAGGGCCGGAAGCGCTTGTATGAGAGGCTGTGGGCGAGCCTAAATTCATGGGCTCATTAGAGCTAGCATTCGTGGCCAATGGGCAATGATACCCCACGGGAGAGTTAAACCTGACCACCGACATCACGAAGACGCAAGCAACCGAAACTTCAAACGCTGTACTAAGTCAGAAGGGCAGAGTTTGATGCGATAAAAGAAATTTAAACTACCAAAGGCTTAGCCAAATATTTAGTCCGTTCAGTCTGTTAAGTGTTCACGTACCGTATTTCAAGAGTTTATAGAATGTTCTTAGTTAAAACAAAGGCCAAATAACGTTTTTAAAAGTTTTTGTACATATGAAAATTGCCAGCACGTACTGGAAACAACGGACCTTATTAGTAAATAAGCTATTTAAAATAAAAATCGGAGCTAAAACATGGAAAACCAAGTATAATTACACGAAAACACAAAAAATATCATGCATTTCAGTTAAAGGGAATAAGAAACCGGTGAAAACATCTGAAGTAGCCTGAAGGCCAGCGAAGAGCGTTCAAAACTGATCGGCTAGGATTGCGTAAACGGGTGTCATAAATGGTCTTTACTCGTAAAATAATAATTTCTTCCGCTTTTGTAAATTATTTTAGAATTTCTGCGAACAAAATATTGCCGCGACCACTAAAATCTGTCTCACCCGGGTGCGCTTAACCATTGACACTTGTGGGCCCTTGGCCCTACTTATGTGTTGTTTAAATTTATCAATAACCAATTTTTTTGTT